ACCACGGCCCAGAGGTCCGCATCTTCGTGCGAGAAGCGTCGCGTGGGCGGGACCTGTGGGGACCAACCGGTTAGCCCGGGTGCCGCCCAGCCAATAGGGACCCACGCGGGGCAGGGCGCCTTGCGGATCAGCAACGACCCACACCTGACCTAAGGGCAGGTGTCAATCCCTCCATCCGAGGCTCATCGTCACCTGTGCCTCGGGTAGTGAGGGGACCCCTGGATTGAGGCGCTGAGCCCCAAGGAAATACCAAGCGCCAGGTGCACACTCTCCCGGAGCACAGGGCAACGGAGCAGGGCTGGGGCGCCCACCTGCACAGGTCTGCCCCCGGGCTGCCCATCTGGGAGGTGAAGACCCCCCCCCTCCCCGTCCTGGCTGGCAGGCAGGAGATGCGCTCAGAGGGGGCTCAGAGGGGAGAGGCCCCCGGGACCTAACAGGATGCCCCGCCCGCACCTTGGGAGCCCGCCCTGCCCCGCCCCTACCTGCAGGTACTGCATCTTGTCCTCCTGCAAGGGCCCCAGCGGGTAGAGATGGGGCAGGGCCCCCTCCAGGGGCAGCTCGTAGTTGGCCATCCTGTCCAGGGCCACAAAGTCGCCCCCACAGCTGTAGTCCAGGGAGCGCTCCAGCACCAGGTCCTGGGGCAGGCCCCCCTCCAGGCTGGTGTCTGCAGGGCCGGGCAGAGGCTTAGGGTCAGGGGTCAGGGAAGCCTGGGGGCATCTGAGAGCTAGTCCAGGGTCCCCCACAGGCAGGCACAGGGCCGAGGGCTGGTTAGTGGGGAAGAGGAAGGGCCAGGTCCTGGGTACCGATCCCGATTCCCCACCTTCCAGCTTTGGGGCTGGGGAGCCATTCTCCTTGTCGGTGGGGGTGCGACCTCAGGAGCTAAGTACACACAGGGGCTGACAGCACCTGGCACGTAGCAAGCTCTTGGCTGAGGATAACATTGCTATTGCCGGGAAACAGGCCCTGGGTCTGCGGGAGCCGCTGGGCACGTCTGAGGTTGGAAGCTCAGAGCACATAGTCTGGGGCACAGCCCTGCCTGGGGCAGGAGCGGGACAGAGAATGCCCCCTGGGAGGGACACTGAGGTCCCTTAGGGGTTCGAGCGCATTCGGGAGTAATCCAGGGGGTTTGGGGTTGACGGTGGGACCTCAGTGCCATGGGGTGGCCACCTTACAGTTGTTATCACTGACTCCAGTGACCTCACCCAGATGCCCCCTCCTCGGAGGCCACTCTCGGGGTAGCCTCACCATCACCCGAATCCTCGTCGTTGGCCATGAGCGCGGTGCACTTCTCCCAGACGGCCTTGAGGTCGGCGCGGTAGCGGTCGCAGGCCCAGAGGAAGATGGGCAGCAGCAGGGCCTGGGCCACGGAGCACCACAGCACGCACAGCACCATCCAGGGTGCCGAGGCGTCCGCCCTCAGGCTGCTGAAGCTCACCACCTGTGGGCACAGCGCTCGCCTGGCACCGGCAGGACCCTCCACCGCGTCCCCTCCCAGACTGGCCTCCCGTCTGGGTGGCATGGCTGTGCCCACCGGCGCGAGGAAGGGGGTGGCGGAGACAGAGCTCTAGACTCTGGGGCAGGGAAGAGGCAGAGAGTGAGGGCGGAAGTCCCTGCCCCTGAGAGCTGCTGGCTGCCAAGGTACCTAGTCACTGCCCAGTGTGCCTGGCCCCTCACTGTGTGCCAGCAGCCCTGGGCGTGCCTGCCCTCACGTTACCCTCGGACTGCCCGGGGACAGAGCGGGGCATGGGTTCCCACCCCCTTTCTGGGAAGAGGAAACGGGCTTGCAGAACCACATTTCCAGCCTCCGAGTGCAGGGACCATTCTGTCCTGCTCACTCCTGTCCTGGCCTCCTCGGCCCTGCCCTGCTCGGGGGCGGGGGGGGGCCTAGGCCTCAGGCCCCAGAGGACGAGAATCAGAGCAGTTTTGCAGGCTCAGAGGGTTGGGATGTAGGGACAAGGACCAGCCAGGTGGCCTTTGGGTCACTGCCCAGGGTGCCCCCTTCCTCCACTCCCACCCCCCACCCAGACTGACTGTTCCCCACCAGAGGGAGAGGCACAGTGCAGACATCATGCTGGTTCTGCCACGCGAGCTGCGTGCCCCTCAGAAAGGCACTAAACCTCTCTGGGACTCAGTTTCTTCATCTGTGAAATTGGCAAGAACACCCTATAGGGTTAGGCAAAGCTTCCAGGCATTGTACTAGGCCTGCAGCATGGAGTGGGCTCCATAAATGGCACCCCCTTTCCTGCCCTGAAGAGAAGCTGGGGGTACAATTTCATACACACTTCTTCCCTCCCTCAGCACAGGGACGGGGACCCCAGGCTCTGCTGAGCACAAGAGGACCTCATCCCTAGGGGTGGGAGGTGCTGGGCCCACTGAAGGTAGAGCCGCTGGTGGCTGGAGACTGCACCCTGACTGTGGGGCTGCCACCCACCCGTCACCTTCTTGAGCTGTGTCTACAGGGCACAGCCCCACCCAGCGACTTGGGCGAGCCCTCTGGCTGGTCCTTGTCCCTGTCCTGCTCCAGACCCTTCAGGGGACTCCCAGCTGGGGACCCACGGTGGGGAGGCCCAGCCCGGCCTCACGGGCAGGACCCAGTTGGCTTCTATGGAACTTGGACCCTGTTGGCAGAGCCTTCCTCCGGCCAGACCTCACCGTGACCTTCCTCAGCTCCTGGGGTGAAGTCCAACTCCCCAGCAGACAGCCAAAGCCTGCCTGGCCCCCCAGTGCAGGACCAAAGCCTCACTCCGCACATCCTCGGACCTGGAGCCGTGACCCCCCTTTCATGCCTGCTGCGCCCACTGGGCCTCACTTAGGTAGGACAGTCCCCTGTGATGTGGCGGGAAGACCCTGGGCCCAGGAGGCCCCGAGGTGGCTCAAGTCCCACCACGGCCTGACTTTGGCTTGTCCCTGTCCCTCTCTGAACCTCGTTTTCCAAGCCTTTAAAGTGAGGATGCGGATGGTGCCCCCGCCAGAGGATTGGGTGTGAGGGTCCAAGCACCTAATGCCCGCAGCGCCCCTCCCCCCAGAGCCCCCACAACCACAGGCTCACCCACCAGCACGGGGAAGCCCATGAGGCAGTCGTAGATGAAGACAATGGTGGCCACCAGGCCCGTGATCTGCAGCGAGGTCTTGGCGGGCTCGGAGCCCTCGATGGAGGAGCGGCGCTTGCCCTGCGCGTCCTCTACCACGATGGTGGGCACCGTGAAGGCCCGGCGGCCCGCCCGGCGCCCCGCCCGTGC